GGAGGATCATCACAGAGGCTCAAAACCTGGTGTTTTTAACGTTATGGCCCTCATTTATTTATTTCCCATTTCCCGCTATCCTCTTGTAGTGTGTCCTGAGCTCACACACACTGCTGCCCTGTGTGGTTGACCTGAGACCACACACTCACATGTTCCCACACACACAAACACACAGATTGGATTAGCTTCTTTGGATCTTGCCCAGATGCTGTGTGGTAGGTCATGTAATAATTGACCCATACCAGTCCAGGAGGAGTTTTCTAAAACCCCATTAAGTAATACTGTCCTTTCAGATCTTTTAGAAGAGACCCTTTTCTACTTTTTATTCTCAAAAAAAACAAAAAAAAAACTGCCTCCACAGACTCGACAATTGCCTGAGCTAAATAATCTGTCACAGTTAATGTAAAGCCTTAGTTAGCCTCTGATTTATTGTTATTTCATTGTTCCAACATTCAGCATTCTCATATGAATGTATCCATTTACACTCTGCTCACTGTCAATCACCTACAGCAAGAAATGAAAGGTAGTGGAAAATTATCCTGCAAAAAATGAAACTTTCCTCTCACATGAATATTTTTCAAATTATTTTGAATGCAGGTGCAACACCGTCAAGGTTGTATTGCAACAATAAAAACCAAGTTAAATATACAGTATATATGCATCACAAACTGATTGACGGTGCGATGTAGACTAGATATAGACAGTAAACGAGCTGTAACTCAAAATAACATCACTCTTCTGCTTTAAGTGTTATGGGATAATGCTTTCCACTGGAAAGGAAGACAGATTTCCCTTTATAGTGTGTGTGTGTGTGTGTGTGTGTGCAGGTTGCTCATTAGAGATCCAGACTCATAAGGTATATTTATCTGTTAAAAGGATGAAAAGGAGTGTTTGTTTGTGTGTGCATGAGATGTTCCGTGTGTTTTTTCACAACTAGCACTGTCGTGTCTTAGCTTGTTTTATGTGAAACTTGGCTCAGAACACAGAGCAGGCTAATAAAACATGTTTGTGTGCTGGAGGCAGACTGGGAAAGCAGTGACAGACTGGTGTGTGTTTGCCGTAAAGAGTGAAAATGAGCTAAATGATCCTCAGCCCACATAGCTTTTGACAAGCGTCTGTGGTGGCAGGCCTGTCTCTCCTGCGTTCACACAGCCTCACGCCGTTCTTTATTGCATTACAGTCTGCGTTCATTTGAGAATAATATGTCAGGCTGGGATATAAGCCAATCAGCACACGTTCCCTGCTTGCTGTTGTCTATTTACCCTTTTTGTCAGTGGTTTCCTCTGTCTTGCTGCCTATCCCTTTTCCCAACTTTCAATCCCTCTCACCCTCTTTTGTCTCTCCCTCTGACTTGCAAAACCTCCACATAGAGGCAGGTGTTCACACTTACACATGATATAACATCTCACGGTGAGTCAGTAATGAGAGATGGATGCTCGATGGCTCACGTTTGTTAGGTGTGGTGGCATATTTTTCCAGCTTTTCCCAGTTGGAAATCAAGAGAAAACACAACAGTCAACGGTAGATTTATTTGCTAAAGCTTTTAATATTTAGTATTATACAGTTTAACGCGATGATGATTAATACATGATAGAGGGGTCTCATGAAAGGAGAAAACAATGAAAATACCCTATGTCTCTGAAAACTGGCATTATCTTTTGAATAAATCTCAAAAGAACATTTTTTGTGTATTTTAATGTCCACATTCCAACATTTTCTCTTCCTGTAAGCTGTCAAAATGATGATGACTCATCTTTTTGATCCCATTCAGTTACATGTGATTACAGATCTTGGCGCAATCCAGCCAACCCTTCCCATCATATAAAACCTTCAAGCTTGATTAGCACTAGCGGGTACGTGAGTCTTAAGGTGTGTATCTGGGTGTTGGTTTACACCATGATCAGCTTTCTGCACTAGAATTAGATTAACCAACTAAACTAGAAGACAAGCCATCCTTGATGGCTACCAACAGTGTCTATGTCTCTCCACTTTGGATCTCAAAAGTGAAATCACTCTTGGCATCAAGTCCTGCGCCCGACCTCTGTTACATGTGGAAACACGACAAACTGCGGAAGCAAATTACTGTCAGAGTTATTTCATGTGATCTTTAAGGAGAAGTTCAGTAACATCAAATCCCAGTAAGAAGAAAAATTAGATCAGCCAATTTCGGCTGGTAGTTTGTATTCATCCGCAGCTTTCCTCTGAATCTGAGAGTAACTTCTATTTCTTCTTATTTTTCTCCCTCCGATTCCATTTCACTGGCCTTCACTGGCAAACGTAACAAATCAGTCTGAGATTATGTAAAAAATTGTGACTGTGACACTTCAGTTGTGCGCTTGACTCATCAAAATAAATTTCCATGTCACAGCTTTTCAAAACTGAGTCACGAAACTGTTTCAAGATGAGACCAAATCTCTCAACATGTTGTCTTAAGAACAAAGACTATCTTTCGTACAGTAGTATGAGTCTGTGTTAAAAGATGTCACAGCCAGCAGAAATGACTGTCCAGTCTGTTTTAAAAAAAAAGCCAGTCATCCTGGTCCAGGGATTACTGTTGATAAGATAGGGACCACAAAAGAGATACATTTCTTCTTCTGCCCTGCTGTCTCCACCTAAACCCTCTGTGTCTGTGTCACTGTTCATGCTCTCTGCTGCCCCCCATGGCACTTCTCTTTGTGCAAAGTCTGACCCAGAGCAGCTCTTTTCTTAAGTGCTAAAAAGCATGTGACTGCAGAGTTAAGACAGTGGTATAAACTGTCTCCACTCTGCCTCTACTGAGATTGTTGCACCTGAAGAATTAAAGACACACTGAGACTTTATCTCTTTAGAATAGTCGAAGGGGCGTAGAGAAAGCACCAACACTTGTTTTTCTGCAGCCGCAGAGTCTAGTTGTGGTCAGGCTGTCACTACCTCCCTTGTCTTTCTCCCTAATGTGCTTCTCTGTGTCCCTCATTTCCTCCCCACCTCTGCTTCTCATACACCCCGAGCCAGTCTCACAAAGGAATGAGAAGGAGGAGAGCAAATAAGCCTGTGGTGGTGCAGAGAGGGAGGAGTGGAGCACAAAGACATGGAGATGGAGGAAGGAGGGGAAATGAGGTTGAATCTGAGGCTGTTGTGCCTCTAGGACCAAATCAAGATAGTCCAGTGTGTGCCAGCGTGGATAAGCACGTGACTATGTGGCTGTATGCATGTTTTTTTTGGTGTGTTTTATGATAGTGTGTTATATGTGTTTGCGTGGGCACCAATGTGCTTGTGCGGCTGAATATATGCATGTGGCTGGAGCTGTATTCAGTTTTATGTGTGTGTATGCGTGCATACTCAGCTCTGGCTGGCTCTGCGGCTCATCACACGCTACAGCCAACTGCTGATTACACAGCACTTGTTTTGTCCTCGCTCTACTCTGTTCTGCGCGTATTATCAGCCTGGGAGCCTGCGCAGAATTAGACGGAGAGCTTTGTCTAACACACAGTTACTCAAGTCTCCCTCTTCAGCTGTTTTCTCCTTGGCTCTGCGCTGCAGAGGACACCTTTGCTGCTGTCTCCGCAAGGCTGAGAAATAGTAATGTAGTGGTAGTTGATGAGGTGGGTGTACTACTAGGTAGATGGTTAGGTTACTGAGAAGGAAGTGGGTTTACTCTCCTAATTTATACATTCCAGAGGCCTTTTTAGCTTATAGGTGGCTATACTGTAAACAGCCAGAAAAAGAAGTGAGTATACCCCATATACCTGAATATACCCTCCACTACGCACTGCTGAGGACCCAGCAATAGTCAGACATTTGAGTGCAACACTCCTCACTCATTCCCTTGATCTCTCTCTGGGGCTGAAGCCTGTTTGCTCAGCCCAATGACATTATGACAATCAAGAGGGGATCAGTTCCATTCCACTTCCTGTCTGGAAGCTCCCTGGTGTGTGTTTTGGGATAGTTTGGCATGCAGAGCTACATCGCCTCACTGATTCATTACAGTTTCCAGTGTTGTGACACCCTTAGCATCAGACAAGTGTTAGCAGGCCATGACTTATTGTCTCAATGAGGAGCTGTTGACTGATGCAAGCACTACACTGTGTCCTTTGAAAGGCAATCATGTAAAAGCTGATTACACAGTTGTTTTGGACAATTGATGTCCATTTTCAATGGAGTGGTGTGCAGTTATATTGAGTAAAGGAAGGGGCGGCTGGGCGTTCCTGCTTCCTGCTTGCTAAAGGAACTGCAGGGCTCAGTAAATGATGACAGGAAGGACAGCGGGGGGGAAGATAGCAGATTTCCTCTCATGTTCAGAGGGTTGGGAGGTAAACAAAGATGGTAAATTCTGGTAGGAAATCACAAAATCTTTTTTTCCCTGTAGTAACTGAGAACACATTTTCATTCCCTCAAATATACTGTTTTTTATATGTCTCTGCACAGTACACATATGTTGGATGAAGAACCATCATTGTTTACCTAGAAGAATAAATGATCCATCCTTTGTGGAAAGACATTGATCCCAGGAGGCCTGGATGAGCAGAACTCTGCCCACAACTAGGAATGTCCTGGTTTGTGAGGCATGACGGACTGCAAGTTTTTTTGTCTTCTCTCATGCTCTCTGCGTGCAGCCTCTCAGTCACTCAATGGGCAACAGAGCAAAAACCTTGTGCACAAATCCAATCAAACCCCTACTCATTTAACCATCAACCTAGCCAAACATTCCCGAGGTGCATTTAATTTGTCTCCCGTCTGAGCCCCCCTGCTCTCTCAGCACTGCAGCTTTAAATCGCAGTAGCAGCCAAGTGTTGACAGGCAGTTTTGATGTTGCTCGATCACACCTAGTGCAGTTATCCATTGCAGTACAGAAGCTGTGTTCAGACTTCTGTGTCAGCCTCATAACGAGGTTTATGAGAAAAGCAAGTGGGGCAGACAGTGTTTCAAGTGAATTCAGCCACAATACTCCCCAGTCTTTATAGGCTTTATAATGATTGACTGCATTAACCCCAATTTCTCTTTCTCTTTTCGTCTTTCCACAGGCGCTAGCAGCCAATGCAGGCACAGGGTTTGCCGTGGCAGAGCCACAGGTGGCGATGTTCTGCGGAAAACTCAACATGCATGTCAACATTCAGACCGGCCGCTGGGAACCCGACCCATCAGGAACTAAGAGCTGCGTAGGAACCAAAGAGGGTGTGCTGCAGTACTGCCAGGAGGTGAGTCACTGCAACACAGACACATTTCTGATGTCCATGCATGCTATCAATTTAAGAGAAGGGGTGAAATTCAAGCACCAAGGTCAGTTGGAAAAGGGCAGGAAGTGTGTTGTCATTTAGGTACAAGCAACGAAATGACAGATCATCAGATCAAATCAGTGGTTCTCAAACTATTTCTGTCATGCCAAAAACAAGCCAAGTTGAAATAAATGAAATAAAGATTATCATGTTGATTTTTTTAACGTCACCACATGAATCATATTCAAACAACTTTAGGTCTGCTCAATATTCTTCTTGCTGGACATCCACGCTCCCCTGCAGTGATCACTGGATAAATTGAGCAAGATATAGCATATTAATGGGTTGACTTGAGAGGTGCTGGTAGACAGATTTTGTTACATGGCAGGCGAGCTGTTTTCCCTGTTTTCAGTTCTTTTGCTAAGATAAATTAACTGGCAGTAGCTTCAGATTTAACGCACAGATTATATTGAGGCGAATTGGCTACTAAGGTGGAAAAATTCAGTTTTCATTTTACTGTGATTAGTCATCAGAGAGGCTATTGAGCTGTTCCTGTAAGACAGACATTATTTACAGTGCAGTGGGTGGCATTTCAATTAGCAGACCCTGCAACTGTCATTTTCACTAGCGGTCACTAAAATTAAGGACACTTTTTTCCAAGACATGGATATCCTGGCTCTTATTTACTTGTTCCTACTACTGTATCTCCTAACCTAAGAAGATGCTGGTACTACTGTCATGGTTATTATGCAGCTGGCCAAGAAACAAAGTAGGGCTGTACATTTTCAAGAAGCCCCCTCCGCGAGCTTCAGTTTCATTTATTGATGACAGTTTGATGGCATCTGGGGAAAGTGTAAATTGCGCGCTCTTTCATGGTTAAGTAGATGGCATCTAGAGAGTATAGAGCGTGGATTAAAGGATCCTGTTCAAGCTCCACTTATCGCACCTCCTCTCTCTTGCACACATAAACATACATACAAAATACATCTGTCATTATTTAGTATACGTTCTCTGCCTCTTTTTCCAACAGATGTATCCCGAGCTCCAAATCACAAACGTGGTGGAAGCCAACCAGCCAATTCGTATTGAGAACTGGTGCAAGAAGGAGAAGAAGGTGTGCAAAGGACATGCCCACATTGTGGTGCCTTACAAATGCTTAGGTAAGCTTGTACACTAATAAGTAGTTCAAGGGCTGGGGGAACCGCTTCAAGGGCTTTAAATGACCCTTCATGTTAGGTGTTCTCCAGTGACCCTCCCACCTTCTATATAGGTCCTTCATTCAATGTAGAGGAAGAGATTATAATATATCTTAGCTATAGGCAGAGGTGACATGGAGCAATATTGGAGCCTGATTCAGTTGACTAATCCTGGCCTTGAGCTGCAGATTGAGCAGATCCAGGCTGGATGGGAGCTAATGTCTCTCAGAAAGGATGGCTAAGGGGGAGGGAGGGCTATTATTGCTGGTGAGGCTTGTTGAGCAATAAAGCACAATCTTATTTCCCCCCTCAGACAGTGGCCATAAATTCACACAGACACAGTCAGTGAGAGGGAGGTCTGTGAGGAGGCCTGCTTTATTACTTCCCATTTCTTCATTCGCCTGTGCCGTCATACACACCTCTCTCCCTCCTTTGTCTCCTGCAGCATCACTGTAATCAGCAGTGGCAACATGGCTATATTCTGGTTTATTAAATGTCAGATACAGCCTCAGACTTTGCAGGCCACATTTCTCTGTGCTCCCTAACTTGCAAAAACACAGCACACTCCTGCTGCCTCTGAGGATTGCAATAACAGAGAAATACAGTTCTGAAACAAGACTCCTCTCAATACTTGTCCGGCTATGTCAGGAAAAAAAAGACATCTTCCTCTATGCTGCAAACCCTTCCCGGCACCCTTCCTCTGTCCGAGAGCCTCTTGCTGATTGAGTTGTGCCGCTTTCCGGGATGAAAAAAGCCATTAGCAGTTGCACTGGACTGTGAAATGGGCTACCATTCAAGAGCATTTTTGGCAAACGCAGAGAGGAGGCTTTTGGGAAATTCATGGGACAGCAAACACCACAACTGGAGTGGCTACTCTGTGGGTGAGACAGGAATACAAATGAGGGAGGTTCACTTGCAGAATCCATTTCCAAAATTCCTCCAGTTTGCTCTCATCTTACATCCTGAAGCTGTCTCACTCTGACTACCTGCCACACCTCGACGCATCTGTCCTCCTGTCTTCACTGTGCTCGGCTGTTGCATCCTTCAACAACCCAACTGACCTTTCATTATGATTCAGCAACTGTGCCATTTGATTGAAACAATCCCATTACCTCTCCTGGAATAATTAAATAGCTTCGTTGCTTGTTCTTGCACATTTTTTTTTTGTCATCATTGTTAAAGGTCTGCGCACTCATGCCTCATCAATTACAAAGGCCTCCTCTGCTGCTCTGCTGGGTTGCAAATGAGGAGTCTGAACAGAGAGAACAGAGAAGACAGATGGAGAAGGAGAGATAAACATAAGGTGTTGGCGAGAAGGAGGCTATTGAGAGGGTTTCTGCTTAATTATGTAATGGAGCATGTTAGGGGCTTAATTGGAGGGCTCTGATCATATGCTACGAGCCATGGCATGCCTCTGCCACCTCATCGCACCACACCTCTCCAGCCCAGTATTTGTCAGGCCTCTCTATCACATTAAAAGCAATGAAGATTACTTTTGAATTATTCATTATTTGTTATGTTCACATAGTGTTGGACATCAGAGATCCTGCCTTATATTCATCAGTGTACATTAATTATAGTTGAATCAAAAAGAAATGAAATAGACCAAAGAGAGGTGGGCTATAGCTTGAAGGATGTGATTAAAAGGGCCAGACTAGCACCCGTGTCAAGTTAATAGGTTTATATGAATAATGCAAGTGCAAAGGAAGGAGCTCAGTGTAAAAAAGAGAGATGGGTTATGCTGTATCCCATCTCTCCATGCAAAGGCTCAGTCACAGAGCCACAATCCCTCCGTGTTTCCTGTCCCCAAACAATGGCTCTGCAAATCAATGTGATTTTTGTTCCATGGCACTCTAATCCCTGCAGCATGATGTCTTTGTCAAACAGCAGAGGATTATTTTAGGGACTTTTTTATTATTATGTCTGGTATAGTGAGAAGAGTCAGTGGTGGATGTGTGACTGGGGTGTTGGTTAGTGTACATGGCAGACCATCTGTTACACAATGATTAAATTGTGGGGGAAAATTTGCTGGGACAACACAGACTGCAGCAGAAAAGAACATCCATGCAAAGAAAGCATTTTCAGGGGAAATAAGGATCCATTAAAAGGCAAATTTACATTTATTTTCTGTTGCTGTTGGGAGCTATCAGTAATAAATTACATTTATTTCAAGCATATTATAGCTTTATTTTGGCTTTTGAGCTACTTTCTACCATGTGGACTTTTCAGGAACAAAGTAGTTTAAGGCTGTGTTTTGGTGAGAAGTGGAACTGAATTAGTAACATTTACAGACATGACACATACTTTGCCTTTCCTGTTGACTAATCCTGTGGATTTATAGAAGGGCAGGGCACACAGTCACAACTACTGATATCATCAGATATAGGCCGAGTCTCGTGATTGTGAATAAGCTGATAATAGATACAAACCCAGGCTTGTTTCAGAGCACCACACCTCTGGCTCCACTCACTCCTTTGCCTCTGCGTTTTTGAACTGAGGCTGAACTTTGAAACACAGTGTGGCACAGTATCACAGATTTAACCTACAGTATGTGAAAGGTTAGCTAATGCTTAGACTTAGGCAAAAGCACCGGTTAAAGCAAAGGTGCTGTCTGTTGTTAAAAACTATAAATCTTTGCTGAAATTGGAACGTTCTTAACATGAGCTGGAACCCAGGAGTTTAATGCAAGTGCTCTTTCCATTATGTAACATCAACCTCTAGCTTCCTCCTGGTTTTGGTCATGTCTCCCCCATGTAATCCTTTCATGGTGGCGGATAAGATTTCTTCCACTTAAAGGGCACAATACATAATGTAAATGTAAACAGAAGGGCAGTGCCAAAAAATCAAAACACAAGACTGGAACTTGATATTCTCAAACTGTATGGCAAGAACTAACACTAGACAACAACTACATTGAACTTATTTAGATTTTAATAATGTTTAATGAGGCTGTTTAATATTTTCTTACAGCTTTAATTTTTGTCAGGTAGGAAACCTCAACATTTTGAATGATTGTAAGATGAGAAACACATAGTATGGATTTAATGTAAGACATTACAGATGGAATCATTAAATGCGGATTTCATACTGTTTACAATAAATTTCCCAACAGCAGGCTTCTTTTGGAAAGTCCTTGAAACACAATAGCCATATTATCAATGAGCAGATCTTGGTTGGTGCTTACTATAATTCACCACCTCACAGTACTGAGGGTATCATTCGTACTGTACTGTGTGTATTTTTTTTTACCTTCACACTCCCTAGATGCCTGTAGTGCTGCCAGTCTGGGGACTGGAGAGTGTTAGTGAAGGTTCCTGATAGACAGAAGGTTAAAGGAAAGGCAGATGAATAGAGTAGGCGGAGAGGAGGTCACAGAGAAGGAGGACTATATGCTCTCATACACACACTTGCACAACTACACACACACACACACACACACACACACAGAAAACACACAGAGCAGGGGTGCTTGCGAGGCACAGCTGCTCTCCAAACACCACCATCCATCACCCACTGCAGTTTGACTGCGTATGGCGTCTGCTTGAAACCCACTCTACCTCACAACCAAAGTAACCTGTGAATGTGAGAGAACAAGACAAAGAGAGAAAGATGAAATGAGGAGAGTGTGTGAGTGAATGAATCAGTTAGCACCCGATTTGCAGGATATGGAGCTGAAGGTTACTGGAGGTCGGTCTCACTCTCAGTTTCTTTCTCTGGATGTGGAGAGAGGAGGGATTTAGCGGGAGAGAGATGAGCACAAGAAGACATATTAGGATCGTTTTACTTGAGCAAATGTAGCAATAAAACAATGTAAAAATACTCCATTACAAAGTAAGTCATGTTTTCAAATTTTGCTTATGTAAAAATACAGTAGAGAAGTATTATCAGCAATATGTACTAAAATATCAAGAGCAAAAGCACTTGTGCAGAATGGCCACTTCCGGAGTGTTATTTTAGGTCTACTATCCTATTTTAATGCCACAGCTAGTCGAGATGGTGGTTAGTTTAACTACTTAATATACTGTGGGGTAGTTTAGGCAGGCTATAACAGTGCATCATATTCTATTAGTGTATCATATCTCAAAATCTTAATCTGTAAAGCAACTGTAGTTGTCCAATGAATGAAAATAAAAATACAATATCACCCTCTAAAATGTAGTGACTTAAAAGTAGTGATAGAAGAGTGTTTAGTCTTTAAAATGTCAGACAAGAAAATCCACCACAGTTTCCTAGATTCCAAAGAGGGGTTTCTCAAATTTGTTGTTTTAGTCCAAAAATATTCTATTTGAAACAATATGAAACAGAAAAAAAACAGTAAAATTTCTAATTTAAAAGCTGGAACCAGACAATGTTTATAATTTTCAATGGCATGATAACATGCAAACCTCTATTTAAGTAAAGTACTTGAGAAAATGTTTTGAGTTACTTTTCACTGGTGTTGGGCACAAACTGGAGACGCAGGAGAACGAGGGTCTGGAGGGATGAGGGGGGGGTTGTATGAGGGGGTGTTACTGTATCTCCTGGGCGGAGATGAGAAGCAGCTGCTGAGTCCTTTGCTATTTCCAGCTCTCTCGTCTTCCTACCCTACCCTCTCATTTTCCAAAACACTGCTTTTTTACCCTCTGCCTGCCTGCTTCGTCTGGCTCATATGAAGTGCTCCAGCAGCACTGCCTCAGGCCGAGGTCGCGGCGAATCGCTAAATGAGCCGTTATAGGACGGCTCCCAGCCCTGGTCGTGAAACCTCCAGACCCTCATTTATGTGTTTTCAGTCCGCCCATTCCTCAGCCACTCAGATCTGGACTTTGCCCTAAACCTTCTATTCATCCTTTCTCTCACCGCCTGGCTTTCCATCTGTTTCTGATGGCAGTGTTTCTACCTGAGCGCCTCGTCACACTGCCAGCCAATCAGCAGTCGCTGTCCTTTATAATCTTTCTTATGACCCCTGCACCATATGCTTACATGCACATGGTTTTCAACCTGCAACTATTCATAGGAATTCACAAGATGCCTTTCATGTCATGTATTTTTTTCCCAGATCTGCATTCTATCAGCTCATTCTATGAATAAAACATCACTGAATTTAATTCATCAAGAAAATGATATCATTGACCTGCAGAAAGAGTCTGGACTACCTTAAAAGAGTCACAGCATAAAACCGGATTTTCTCCACTGCCATTTTGATTGCAGAGTTGCAGCTGTGGCTATAGAGGAGAGATGAATCCCTCTCAGCTTCAGGTGCACAGGCAGATGTTCAAGTGTCAAATGCCCTTTCTGTCATACCACCGTAATGAAATGTAAAGGACCAGGCAACTATGAATTATTGAAACATGCCATTTTTTTCACTCATCTCATCTGGTATTCCTTTTATAGGTCCTCTTGGCAATTTATTGTTTCTAAGCCTGGCAGCGTTGTTGAGCAGTGACCAGGAAGGGAAAAGGGTTTTTTTTTGTTTTTTTTTGTGACAGATTGGTGGTGTGACTAACAGGCGTATTGGTCCGTGTGATTTGCTGTTACAGTGGGCGAGTTCGTGAGTGACGTGCTTCTGGTTCCAGAGAAGTGCAAGTTCTTCCACAAGGAGCGTATGGACATGTGCGTCAGCCATCAGCAGTGGCACGGCGTGGCCAAAGAGGTAAGGATGGAATTACTTAATAGGAAACAGTGGGAGGCTGCATCCCAAAGATAGCAGAGCAATGGAAAAGAAAGTTTGTGTGGGAAGAGGAAGTCTTAAGCATCAATTTAAAAGTATGCTATGCAGAATTATCCTAAGAACAATGTATAGACTGATACAAATATAATCCCTCTCAATTATCACTTACAGTATGACCCACCAGAAGTGTGTGGCGATGTATTTATCCACAGAGACCCTGCCCTCTGCAGGTGAGGTCAGGACTTAATAAAAAGGTAGTGACCAGGTGTTAGACCGTGAGTAGCACGCATTCAAGAAAGCCATGAAAATCGTGGACACAACGACAAAAAAACACAAATAGCAGATCTGGGATTTATTTTCGCTGCTACTGTTTACAAACAGTAGGTGACAATACCTGCATTGTCTACCTTTAACCTTTAGAAATAAAACTAAACAAATGTTTTACGCCTTCTCCCTGTCATACTGTTTAGACTTTTATTACTTTGCAATCTTTCCTCTCTCTTCCCTGATATCTTTCCACCTGTCTTTGTGAGTCTCTGAGGCCCTCTGATCACAGGCTGGCTAGGAGCCCTCACATTTCAGCTCCTAATCAGATTAGTGTTGTGGCTGTAATGCAGCTAATCCCCCCCTGGGCAGCTCCAGAGACGGCCCTTGGGGGCCACTCTGACCACGACAGTAAGAGCAGCAGCTCACAAAACCCATCAAACGTCTGCTCTTGTCTCTCCTTGCCTTGTGCTTCCGGACAGTTACTCTTCCGTAACACTAATACCTGAATCCGAGTATCATCTGCAGCTTCAGATAATGTGACATCCAGAGGCACAAGCGACCTACATTCAATAACAAATTTGCTACAGCTAAGCAGTAATAAATCGTACCAGCAGGAAAATATGGGTAAGAAAAATGACTCAAAACCAATCTCAGCTTGCTCACTAACTGCCACTGAGGTGTTCTTAAGCAGGGCAGCTAATCCTCCACTGCTCCAGTGGAGTTTCTCAGCAGTCATTAGACTGAAGTTGTACTCAGTAGCTCCTAGCTGATATATGAAGCATAGTGTTGTTGACAAATAGCACATCAGTTAAAAGACTGCATGACTTTTTGGAAGTGTGGCCCATTAATCACTTTAGTCAGCATGTGCCAAGAGAACTACTGTAGATCTAAAATCAGTATGTCTATACACCGTAGGTGGGTAGAGCTGTTACTATGTCAAGGACTAACACTATACTAGAAGTCATAAAATGAAAAGCTGGTTGCCTCACTGACTGTGTTTACAAGGTCTTTAGTATCCCGGTTTTGAGGCTTATCCCAGCTTTGAGCATATCCGGAATATGATGTTTACATGGAACACAGAGAAACCCGGTTATTCATATCCCTGTATACATGATAAATACCAGTAACCCGTTTTCTGATCACTGCATCCTATCTGCGCAGGCGTGTGTTTCGTCTTTTACGTCTTTTGTTTACAACAGATTGAGCGGGAAATGTGATATATTTATTATATTTAGAAGTAAGACAAAAATGAGACCTCTGTGGCTTCTAGCGGGCTTAGCGTTAGTAAATACTCACGTCGCATTACAGCTATGGCTCATCCACTTCATCTTCAGCAATGGGAGGAGAGAGCGACAACAAATATTGAATACGTCACCAACTTTGATAGGTATTTGGCTGTCACTGCCACCACGCAGTACAAGGCAACAGTGGATGAAAATATGTAGCCGTGACTGGTGGGATAGGATCGTTCTCATGGAGTTTACAGATTCAGAGTGGAGAGAAAACTTCAGAATGAGTAGGGCATCCTTCAGCCGGCTGTGTGACGTAGTTGAACCATTCATGAAACCGGGATAAGGCGTATACATGCTCCAGTATCCCAGCTTCTATCGGAGTACTCCAGGTGGCAAAACCAGGTTTCTTGAAACCGGGAAAAGGGCATAACCCGGTTTCTGAATTCGGGATATGGTGTTTACATGCACAAACACAAAAACGGGATACTTAAAAAACCCAATCAAAACCGGGATACTAAAGACCTTGTAAACACAGTCACTGAGGCTAGATAGCTACTATACACCTTTATTTTATTGCTGTTGTTGTTTTCTGTAAAGCATCTTTGAGTATCCTGAAAAGCGCTATATAAATCCAATTTATTATCATTATTATTATTATCATAATTATTATTATTATTATTATTATACCAAATCCTGCCATAGCATAAGAGTTTCGTAAGACATACAGGATATCAGGAGCATCAGACATATGACCCACAAGCCAGAACCTGCCTGCCAGAGTGTCCACTAGAGATCAAATTGGGCCGTATTTTAATTATATGATATTATCAAAATACCTTGGAAGAAGTCATGTACACACGTATAATAAAGAATAAGGACAGTGGATTACAAACAGGGATTCGCTCTGATTTTACTTTTTACTAGACCTCCATGATAGCTCAGTCACATAAAGGTGGCCTTGAATGTACTTAACTGTTGTTGTGGGCTTGAAAATAAAATGACAAGTTTCTCTTAAAACTAACATGCACATGTTATGTTAATTGCAGCAATGCACAGGCTGACTAGACAAACTAAAGTATTCATTAAGCTTCATTTGTTGGATTGATTTATTTGTTTATTCTTTCTTGAAAAATCTTAGAATTCAAGTGTATTCTTTAAAATTGTATTTTTAAAATAACTAAAAGATTTAATGAAAAATGAATAGCGTCTTTTTGCAGCTAAAAGTTCAATTTGTGAAAATCACTTTAATTAATTTTAAAGGACCAGTGCGTAGGATTTAGTGACATCTAGCGGTAAGGACTTCTCCCATGTGCCCTGCGTGAACTCCCGCTTAGGATTTCTTCATTCATTGCTCATTCTTCAGGAGGTTTTTATAATTATTCACAGAGGTCTCTTCCTCTTCAAAACAAACTGACCAGGTGATTTAAACCAGGTTATCATGTTCAGTATTTTTCTGATGACACTCATCCTGGAAGTGCTGCTAACTACAGTGGCCGATGCAAAAATGTGAACGGGCCTATCTAGAGCCACTGTAGAAACATAGTGGACTCCGTGGATGAGAATCTGCTTATACACTAAAGGAATAGAATAGAAAGAACTTTATTCATCCCCGAAGAGAAATGCAGCTGTCCAGCAGCTCATAAAAGACAAAAAACAACAACCACACTTCCCCTCATCAACAACAACACAGTGCTATTAAAATAAACATAATACAATATAGATTAAAATAAGTGCATAAATAGAAATTAGATTAAGATAAAATTGCCCGTTCCACAGTCCAGTCTAGTTGTGGCTAATGTGATGTGTGTGTAAGTGTGTGTGTGACTGTATGCAGGAGGAAAGGAAACATACTTATTATATTATATTCCATTTCTGTCAATATATCCCCCTAAACCCTACACACTGGAGCTTTAAATCTGAGATATTTTGAAAACAAAACAAACAAGCAAAAAAAAAACAGGAGCCTTACTGCAGCATATCAACACTACCATGTTATTATTATTATTATTTTTTTTTTTTTTTTTAAAGATATTTTTTGGGGCATTTTTTGCCTTTAATGGACAGGACAGTTAAGTGTGAAAGGGGGAGAGCGAGAGGGGATGACATGCAGCAAAGGGCCACAGGCTGGACTCGAACCCAGGCCGCTGCGGCAACAGCCTTGTACATGGGGTGCCTGCTCTACCACTAAGCCACCAACACCCCCCATGTGACTAAATTAACTAAACCTCCAGTTTCCTCCCACCGTGACTCATACGCTTCTCCATCTGGCATGGACATCATTGTTGATGTAGTCCTTTCACTTCCCCTTGATGAATAAAGGTTAAACTCATGTCACCTTGTCAAAGCTAAAGTTGATACTTTAAAGTAGTAAGAGGCCTAGAAACCACAGCAGATTCATTAATCTGGAGCCCTGTGTTCAGTCAATAACATCATTACTCCTTTTGCCCTGTCAGGCCTGTGCAAAGAGCTCCATGATGCTGCACAGCTATGGCATGCTGCTGCCCTGTGGCATTGACAAGTTCCATGGCACCGAGTACGTGTGCTGCCCCGCCTCTCGCGCTGGGGAGTCCGCTCCACCTTCCCTGCCCTCCCAGGAGGACGACGAAGAGGAGGAGGTAGAGGATGAGGAGATTGACGAGACCGACCTGGATGATGAGGATGCCGTGGAGGACAGGTGAGCAGTCTGTGGCTGCATGTGGCTGTGTTCATGATCATGGCATGTCTTTGAAATATTATGAGGGTAGTATCCGCTCTCTTGCGAAGGGCAGGTAATACTGGCCATCTGGATGAATTAAAGTGTTGTGACATTGACCTATGGCAGCTGTTCTGCCTTGTTTGATAAATCACCCCTCTTCCTGGCTCCCACCCCTTCGCTTAATCACCACTGCCTCCTCCCCTTCCTCAGTGAGACGCCAACTGATGAGCAGCCCACACCAAAGGAGGAGCCAGTGCACGAGGACGAAGACGAGGACGAGGAAGATGAGGAGGAGTACCACTACGTCTACGAGGACGAAGAGGCAGATAAGGAGGACGAGTATGAGAAGAAAGAGAGCAGCAAAATGTCAGAGAGCTTAGATGAGGACAAGACTCTGCAGGAAGTCAAAGGTTTGTAATGAGTTGTTTTAAATTATAATGTGCTATCATCCCTTCTATCTCTCTCTCTTTCTCTCTCTCTCTCCCTTATTGGCACTTTGCCTGCCACTTAAATATTATCTATTAAATATAATCAAACCTTTTTAACTTTTAAACTATCTGCAGTTATGCTTAAATCTCTGCCAGACTGTAATTAGATAACTGAATGCATCAGCAATACCCTTTTCTACAGCTCAGAGCAGACTATGATATACTGTTCTGCTTTATAAGAGTACAAGGACAAATCATCCTGCCTTATATGTTGCCAAAATTCTGCTCATGTAAAGGAGTTTAGTTTAGTTTTAATTAATCATATTTTTTTGATGTAGCAGAGGTAAGGAGTGTTAGTTTTCAGAGTGTTTGTAATTGAGACTGGAATTAAGTGCTGCCCCCAGAGGCGGGATGATCTAACAAGCTGTCCCCTGGCAGCGGTGTGCACCCTGGAGGCTGAGACCGGCCCCTGCCGTGCCTCCATGCCCCGCTGGCACTTCGACATGAGCCAGAGGAAGTGTGTGCGCTTCATATACGGGGGCTGTGCCGGCAACCGCAACAATTTCGACTCAGAGGAGTACTGCATGGCCGTGTGCAAGCGCCTGAGTAAGTCTCACCAGACAGAGGCCGGTTTGACAACACCCCTCTCTCTCTCTCTGTTTGTGTCTTTGCTGCAGACTCTCTGCTGAACACTCTGTAGGATAATATAGGTTTAGTTTGTCACTGACTTATAAGCAGAACATCTGTTCTGCAGTCTTCAGCTGTTGTTCATCAAATTTCTACAGCTGTTATTACCATGTCACCTTCACCACAACAGTCACAACATCATACTCTTTTCCTTTATTATTCCACTGATATAACAAGTGCTGCAACGAATGATTGTTATGTGTCATTTTATTTTGAATTAATTGTTTTGGCTGGAAAATATTGCTTGTTGCTTATTTTGTCAGGGCAACACTTCAAAAGCTAAATATATCTAATTTACAGTAATTTGAAACGAAGTACAGAATCTTCACATTTAACAAGCTGGGAGCAGATTTTGTTTGGTATTTGCCTCACAACTTTAACGTCCAGTGTGTAGGATTTAGGGGTTATATTAGCAGAAATTGAGTATAATATAATAAGTATATTTTCTTAAATGTATAATCACCTGAATACAAGAATTGTTGTGTTTTTATTAGCACAGTATGAACCATTTATATCTACATAGGGACCAGGTCCTTGTCCACGGAGTCCGCCATGTTGCACTTCCGTGTTTCTACAGTAGCCCAGAATGGACAAACTAACAATGGCTCTAGACAAGACCATTTACGTTTTTGCATCGGCCACCACAGTTCACATGGTTAGCATGTTTTTTATATATACATGTATGTATATATATATATATATATATATATACACACACACACACACACAAGACTGCTTCAGTCAGTGTTTTACCAGTTAAAATCACCTGTTCCATTTGTTTTGGAGAGGCAGGGACCTCTGCGAATAATTTGGCTCCCTGTTAAAAACCTAAAATCCAAAGGCAAATTAAGAATATAAGAATAAGTGTTCAGATACACTGGAGAAATTTCAGCTGGTTGCAATCCGCAGTCCTCACCGCCAGATGCCACTAAATCCTACACACTGTTCCTTTAAACAGTTTATCCAAACTGTTGCTTATTCATTTTCTATTATTCATAGATTATATAATTAATGGTTTCATCACTGTATCTCTAAATAAAATGCCACTTTAAAATCCAGTTCTTCATAAGTAGATGTTTTCATTCTTTTTTTTTTTTTTTTTTTTTTTTTTAAGACAAACATTGGCCCATTAGTTTTGGTTGATTCTCTACTAAAATGGAACTGTTAAAATATTCAATATTTACTATGTCAGACATAAAGAAACTAGGCATATATAAATATAGGCTTTATCTAAATAATTAAATTACTTAAATAGAATATAGGATACTATCTTAAAGAGATCAGGTTGTTAACTCCAGTGGTCCATTGAATGCTTGCTCAGATTCATACTCTTTTTTTTTTTTTTACTTTGATCAGAATAATCATACTTTTGCCAATTTTAGCACGTTATTTCTTTTAGTCAGTGTCTACAGTTGCCAATATTTAGATGGTGTTAAACATTTATGTAAATTGGCTTTGTTTCTTTTTAAATGGGAAGGGTTCTGTAGAAAAACATGTTTATTTTACTCAAAGTAATGCATCAAAAAAGTATGATTTTGGCATCAGTACCAAAACTATCATACTGGAGGTAATAATGAAGAATTTCAAATAATACCCAGCTTAGCTGTCACTACAGGTCAAGACTTCCAAGTAAAATTTCAATTGGGATACGAATTAGAATTTAAGTAAAAACTCCAAAAATACCAAATCAAAAAACATGACATTCTTCTTCCCTCTTAATTTAGTGTTCATTCATATGCATGCAACTTCAAACACACTTTTTAGAGTTTTTCTTTCTTCTCTGTTGTCCTGTCAGTGTTAACGTCTGCCATTTGTTTTGTTTCTGTCTGTCTTTCAACAACCTGTCTGTCTGTCTGTCTATCTGCTCACAGAGCACTGCCACTACTTTTGCTAGAATCCCATCAGCATATGTCAGCATGCACCTTTTTTTGCACCTTTCAATGACTCACTTTTCATCAATTCAAATGATATTCATGGTCATAACTAATTGGATTTTTCATTATTATTTCAGGAAATAAAATGACCTTAGGAGCTGAAGCAGTAATGTTCAAAACAGGAACTATGCGTTTATCTGTTAACCCGTGCCTCTTGTTTTTGATGGTGAAGTGAAACAATGAGGTCTCTTCCGGTTTGCGAGCCTGAAGCGTTATTGTTTTTGGGAGTTGCAGCGGCACAGGGAGTGAGTCCTGCGTGACTGTATAGAGAGGAACCCAGAACACAGCCCTCTGGCCTCGCCCCAGATGACCCAGCCGTCAAACACAGAGATATTTCCATTAGTGTTGGAGACGCGACCTGTCAGCAGAAAGCCAATGGGAAGATGAAAGGAATTCAAAAGGAAAGACTGTCAGATTCTTTTAAATTTATCAGAGTTACTGAGGGTGGAAGAACGCTGATGAGAGTGCTTCTGTGAGGATTTTTGTCCAACTTCAATCTGTATTCCACTTTCGACTCTCTTTTCCTCTCTGTGCCCAGTTGTCTGTCTGTCTTTGTGTTTCTGCCTACCTGTGTCTGCCTGGATCAGCCAGTGTGCCTTTCTGTCTTTCTGTGTGTGTGTGTGTGTGTGTGTGTGTGTGTGTGTGTGCGTGTGCGTGCCTGTCTGTTTTTCTGTCTGTCTGTCTGCCTGGTTGCCAGTTTGCAGCCCTGCCCGCTCACCATCTGTTATGAATTTGCAGCCATGCCACCTACTCCTCAGCCCACCGATGATGTGGACATCTACTTTGAGACCCCAGCCGACGACAAGGAGCACAGTCGCTTCCAGAGGGCCAAGGAGCAGCTGGAGATCAGGCACCGCAACCGCATGGAGAGGGTGAGTTACCAGATGAAGACAGGTCAAATAATTAAAGAGCAGAAAGTATGATTTTTACTGCTTAATTGCACAGTATGTACATGATCTGTGGTGTTGATCAATACCAGCTAATTAAATAATATTCTGGCTTTTAAAACAGAATCTGTTTCTAATCTACCAAAATCTGCAGTAGTTGCCTAATAACAGCCCTTTAGAGCCAGAAAGTACAAAACAAAAGCAGTTACATTTACAAAATGAACAGAACATGGCACTGATGAGGTAAAAGCTATTGTCCTTCACTGATTTTCCTAATTAAGGAGGAGTCATAGAAAAAAACAGGCAGATTGGTTTGTTTGACTGAACTGTAAAATGAGGATTAGTTTTGCATCAGTGTTTCTCAGTAACTGTTATGCTGGTTGTGACCTGTTTTTGCTGTTATTTTGCAATGGGATTAATAAGAGGAAGAAAGTTGAAAGATTTGACAAGTAGTAAGAAATAGATTTTTAAATAACTCAAATGATAGTGTAACTTTTTTTTTTTTTTTTTAAGACTAAAATTTATCTTGAGCTTGTTGGGATGCAGCTGAGAGTAGCTGTTGAGAATTCAGGGCCACAAAATGTGCCAGTCAGTTTGCTTGCCAAGTTTTCCCAGAATTTGAAATTTTAAATCCAAGAATATGCTAAGGACCAAAGTCATATTTTAAAGGCCTTTGCACACCAAGTCCATATTTTTTGTCTGAATCTGCTGAACATGTAAAACTAAATACGACCTCATTTTGTGTCAGTCAGTTTCACACACTGACTCCAAAACTTTCGTTCACAGTATCATTTCATAACTGATATAGCCCACTTTTAACCAGTCAGATAGCAATATTCATATGGATGATGATGACGAGAAGGAGGATTTAATAGAGGATGACAACTGCACACAGACAGAGAGAGAGAGAGAGAGAGAGAGAGAAAACAACAGTGTGGAGATAGAGAGTAAGGACAGGTCAGCCACTTCAGGTAGTCGCTGTGCCAAATGCAAGACGTGGGCAGACAGTGGAAACAGCCAGGAGAGTACCTCCGGTGGAGAGAAGCAAGGGAGGAAAAACGGCTTTCCATTTAGTCTTGTGATGCCAGTTTTCACAACATTATAACAATGAAGCGGATCAGGCTTATCATGCAAGGTTTCTCTGCAAAACAATTTTCATCTAATGACGGATTTAAAAAAATGCGTATGAAACATACAGAATTGGTGTGCAAAGGCCTTAAGGGTTTCTTGCCTATGTGCAACAAAAGGCTTTCTTTCCCATCTACATTTACAAATATTACTGTTTTACTCACTTTGAGTGAACAGGTGCAGTAGGACCACCTTGCTTCTCACTTCATTTCCATCTCTTTCATTCCAGGTAAGAAAAGAGTGGGAAGAGGCTGATCGCCAGGCTAAGAACCTGCCCAAGGCTGAGAGGCAGACATTGATGCAGGTAAGACACTGATCCTTCCCCCTGGGAGTCCCCCTTTGTCCCTTTGTTTGGGTGGGATATGATGGCTTACAGGCCCTGGGTCCCTCACTGCCTGTGCCATTAAAGATCCCTTTTCCCCGGCTGCTCTATCTTTATCACTCTAAGGCTAAATTGGGGCACTGTCTGAATGGGGAGACTTCTAAATGAGTCCCTAACTCCCTTGACAAGCCTGAGAGGCGACATGAGTGAAACTGAGAGCTGTTTTTTTAAGTAGAAGTCAAAATAGCTCTGTGGTGCCAAACTGTTTGAGGTGCATATACTTATTTATCTGTGTTTGTGATTTTGTTTGTAGCACTTCCAAGCCATGGTGGAGTCCCTGGAGGAGGAGGCAGCCAGCGAGAAGCAGCAGCTGGTGGAGACTCACCTGGCCCGGGTGGAGGCCATGCTGAATGACCGACGCCGTCTGGCCCTGGAGAACTACCTGGCTGCCCTGCAGGCTGACCCCCCCAGGGTAAACACCAGACACTGGCCTCTGAGAGCATCTTTTATCCTCCCCTCACCTCTCTCCATCTGTCTATTGCTTTTTCCTTTCCTCAGTCGATGTGCAAACAGAATCACACACACACACACACACACACACACACACACACACACACACACACACACACGCACTTATGTCAGACCACACTCACACCTGACACTACTTATGGCCTGTGGCTAATCTCATATCCTGTCAAAAGACTCTCTGCCAACTTGCAGTTCATCATGAGGAAAATGGATTATTGCAGCCAAAAAAAACACACATCCCAAAATCCTCCATGAGCACAAAGTCAATCACATTTGAACCCACTGCTATAATCCCTGTGTTTTTTTATTTTTAATTTCTCTTATCTAATAGACTTTTGATCCTTTTGCCAGCACACAGTTTGGTACTCTGTTGCAGGGTGCTGGTTGCCTCTCTAACCACCAGTGTTGGACTTATAACCCAAAAAGGAAAGACTTAAATATTTCTGTTTTGTACTCTTTTCGAATGTAATCATGCTGCCTGACCTGAGAGCAGTAATGTCTAATCCTGCTTCTGTTACACCTCAAAAATTGGTAGTTGCATCATCTGTGGTGTGATGCTATTTCAGTAGGTGCTGCAGAAGATTTAATGTCATGTCATAAGCAATGGATTTTTTGCACCTCACATTTGACACCGTTCTTGTCATCCTTCTGCTCAGATATATAAAAGATGTGCAGAGGAGAGAATAATTTAACATTATTTTTCATCTTTAGTCGCACAAAATGTGCTCATGTCTGATGACAAGCTCACTGCTAATTGGGTATGTGGGTCATATTATTTCATCATTTTGCGGGTTATCAAATAAAATCAAATAGACCTGAATCTGATGAAATCTGGATACATTGAATGAAAACATTTAAAGGGAACGAGAAGAATAAACATTACTTTAGAAAACAATTGATTGTTAATATGACTTAATAAAAGACATAGCTGTCATGTCACTTATATCCACGCAGACAGGAATGTTGTAATATTTGCAGTATTACACAGAATCGGTTATATGGCTGTGTTTCATTTACCCAACACTCTCTTCTTCCCACTCCATGTCCCCCTCAGCCCCACCGCATCCTGCAAGCTCTGAGAAGGTACGTCCGTGCCGAGAACAAGGACCGCCAGCACACCATCCGCCACTACCAGCACGTCCTGGCTGTGGATCCTGAGAAGGCTGCTCAGATGAAGTCACAGGTCAGTGTTTTAGTCCTGATGAGCAAGACTAATGATCACCTGATTTAACTTTGGGGGAAAAATACCCATCGCAAGTGCCTATGGCCCAAGGTGATGTCTGGATGTTGCTTGTTTTGTCCAATCAACTGTCAGATATCCCCACATTTGAGTTGCTGGAACTAATGAATGATTGGCATTTTAGTTAGAATTGATTATCTAAGATTCATACATTAATTGATTATCAACTGTGGAGTCCCTTTGATTCATCAGTTTGGTCAATAGGTCCTGCCAATAGTAAGAGTTTTGCATCCTTCCTGAGTCACTTTTGATGTATTGTATTAGAGCCTGTGTCAGTACATCTGAAACCTCATGCAGAGCCTACCCAAGATCTCACACTTCTCCTATTCCCGCTCAGACAGAGGAGGGATAATGATGTCTCAGCCTGCTCCTCTCTGCCCTGTTTCAGGGTGTGTAGGAGGTAGAAAGAGTGTGTTTCTCTGAATTGAGGCCCAGGAGGGCTGAGTAGGCTCGTCTAACGGAGGGAGGGCGGGTGTTTCATTCACTTAAGCCTCAGCCAAAGATTAACATTGCGCAGGTCTTGTGTAATGCTGGACTCTGAGCCACTGCACAGGGATTTGGCTGGAAGCTCCTCTGTTAGATGTACTTGCCTGTTTGTGTCAGTGCCCTTCGACACCATTTATAGTGATCCTCCACCATTACAGATAACACAGCAGATGGATGAAATAATGTAGTGAGGAGGGGAAAGGACCAGAGGGTTACTATTTAGATGAATCATGGGACCTGGGAGGCGGCGAGCTTCTGTGCTCAGTCATGGGAAGCCAATCTGTATTGTTGTGCTCTCACTGTGTTTTATTTGTCAAGCCTGTGTACTTCTTCACTCAGCCAATCCGGCATGTTCAAATTTGCATTTTCAGTTTTTGCAACTGTTTGTGGATTTGACATGTGTGTGTGTGTGTGTGTGTGTGTGTGTGTGTTCTAGTGTGTTACAAAAGAATTCTTTGTAAATAGAAGGCTTCCTGGGCTTTATGTAACTTTGTTATTTGACTTAATTAGGATCAAGATTATTCTTTGCTTTTTTTGTAAGTTTCATCTCTCTAGTTTAGTAGAGATTTCCTGATGAATTGACATCTCTACTCCAACACTGGGACATGTCATTTTCTTAATGAGGATTGTTTTTCAAACATGGACAAAAAGGTGCCACAGCCGCTGCATCTTGCCTTTAATGGGAAAGGTGCGTCATTGCCATCTGTTGCTGGCTCTGATGCACTGCAGCCATGTGTTGGAAGATTAAAACAGTCGATCATCATATTGGGAAAAAAACACCAGTTACCTGCCAAGAGCTGGTCAGCTTTGTCAGTAGCTGGTATTTTTTTATATTCTGCCAACCACTTTGGCAGCTGAAATGTGGAAATATTCCTCCTCTCTAAACATCATATTGCTGGTAGAAACCATGAAAGCGACTGGAGATTTTTTGGAACACACAAAAGTTTTGTATCTGTTTGATCAAAAGAGTTTGTTGTTTTACCCAGTGGTGATCATTGGGGCTGACAGGCAGTAGATCCTGTCAAGTTGGTTCAGAGCTTCACGACTGATTTGAATATTACATGCAGCAACTTGTTTTATGTCTGCAAGTTGGCTGACTGTGAGCTAGTCTGAGCTCATCTTAAGAAAATATGCTCTCTAGCAGAAAGCACATTTCTGACACTTCTGTTTACATCTGTGAACATGAACAACTCTCTCCCCTCAGAACATTTATATTCTGGGTGGAGAACAGCTAGCTGTCTGTAGTCTCATTTGCAGTGTATAGTCATTTATTACATTTATGAATTTTTACTGTGTCTTGGCTGCACAGATTAATCATATATATATGTACTGATTTGTAGTTGTTTCTATTTGCACATGTGACATTGGGGTAATGTTTGATGTTGGTAATTAAATTAAGGTTTTTCTAGTACATATAACAACTTCTTCTGCTTCCTTATCATCTTCTGTCTTCTTTATTGTGTTCTTCATTGTTATCTTTTGGTTTGGTTTGTATTTTCTCTTCCTGCTGACATGTTTCTGAAGATAAATTTCAATCTTCTTATATGCATTATCTGATTGCACCACTATGTTTTTTCTGCTGAACATCGCTTCTCTGTGCAAATCTCCAAACAGGAAAGCCAAGACTGTAAGCTGTGATTCTATTAGATGACAAAACTTGTAACCTCACCAGTAAACCAGTAAACCCCCCCTGAAACAGTAAAGTTTCAGGGGGATTTTCCAGGATAAGAGTGTATTTTCTGGTTCATTAGTATTAGCTTTTGAATAAATACTGTTGGGATGAACATTTTATACTAATAGTTGGCAAATCACTATGTAATTAGTTGTTACTAGATTAGTGTTGAAGCAATTATTCACTTAATGGATTTGTCATATGCTATAAAATAAATGATGTATAATTCATCCAAAAAAATCCAAAAAATTGCCTCTCCAATGTAATGATTTTCAGCTTCTCTCAATCTTATATCATTATAAACATAATTCAGTTATGTTTTACATTGTTGTTCAGACAAAATAAGCATCTGGAACACAAATCCCTAAGCTCTGGGAATTTATAAGAGCATTTGTCCTTGTTTTATAGCATTTAAATGAAATGAATAGTTTTATCAGAAATGGCAATAAATAGCTACAGTCCTGGATATAAATGGTAACATTGTGCATCAAAATCTTGATCATTTTGTCCTTTTGTATTAAAATTTCCAAGATCCTGGGAATAAAAAACATAATTTCTGTACAGACAATTAGTGTTGTCATCATAAAGCAGGATTTTGGTTGTAGTTCACCTTGTTTGTCTGTTCTTCCAACACCAGGTGATGACCCACCTGCGTGTGATCGAAGAGAGGATGAACCAGAGTCTGTCACTGCTCTACAAAGTACCTTATGTGGCCGAAGAGATTCAAGATGAAATTGGTGAGTTGTTTTCAGTCAAAAGCCCCTAGGCAGCTTGAAGGAGGAAAGGAGTGCTGAATAAGAATGAAGTGAAATGAAAACAGTGATGGAGTTTGCATGTGTCAGACAGATAAAGCCAATACATCACATTTCCTCTGACCCTCAGTGAATTGTTTTGCTTAAATTTGATGCAAACTGACAAAAAACTGTCTTCTCTTTGTACAAAAAGAAACACAAATATTGGAGGACACTGGCAGACAGGCTTAAGCGCTGTCTGTAAACCAATTATCAGAGACACCACGAAAAGTATTGTCTTTTTCTCAGTATGAATTTGTGCAACGGGATTTCATGCAGTTACTACTCTCTGTTTTTAAGGGTCTCTGCTCACCAGCTCTCATTTTTACAATCAGATCTAAAACTGGAAAATGTATTTGGGCTGTATTCATCTCCAGTGGTACAATTAAAGACAGGCAATGTCCAGCATGTTTTATTATTTCCTTTTGTTTCCTTTGGTTCATTAAAGGAACCCCAGCATGGTGTTGCAGCACAGATTAAAGTGGAGCGGGTGCAGTGACAGAACTGGGTCACAGCTTTCACCATGCAGCATCCTGTTGGGAGATGTGCAGATTTACACGGAAAATAGCTCTCAGAAAAATACTAATTGGTAGTTAGCAGAAACAGGAACAGACGTCTCTCTTGCAGCAGCTCTGTTAACAATAATTGGTGAACCTCTCAGTCTGCATGTTGCTGCCATGTCCCAGGCTGACAGGTGTTAGCACATGCCAGGCTGTCTAATACTCTGTCATTTGCTCTTATCTGCAGACGAGTTACTCCAGGAGCAGAAAGCTGACATGGACCAGTTCCTGTCGTCTATCTCTGAATCACAGCCAGATGTCACCGTGTCGTCAGAGGAGAGTGTAGAAGTCCCTGTGTCTGAGGGCAAACCCTACCGGCCTTTCCAGGTCACATCCTTGGGGTCCCGTACAGAGCCAGAGGGTGAGCAGCTCCAGCCTCAGACACAGTCACAAGCAGCATCATGAACAACACTTTGGCTGTGTGGAGAACAACAGGCCATACACACAAGTCTCTCTGAAGGGCATTAGTGACGAAGCATGCCAGAATTGTTCCACAGTTAGGGAGAATAGGTTTACAATGTATTTTATGCCGATGCAAATGTGCTATGGAGCCATGGGTTTGGACTTGTCTGTGCTGCACAGTTTCCTGCGGCCTACCCTTCAACGCAGCACTACTGAAGTTCAGATAAATGCACAAAGCCTCAGGCTTTGGTGCTGAGCTGCAGCCAAAAGCTTAGGGAAAAAATGAGCAGTTATGGCTCTCTACTTTGTCGCATTTGTACCAAACAAAAGATTGACTCCTCAAGGGGAGAAAAAAGTAATGGATGGAACGCTTCCAGCAAGATGGAAGGCAAATTACAAGTAAATCCCCAAGGAACATTTAATATACATGCCAACACCCCAGAGGGCTTAGACAGAGCAAGCCAGTTTTGAAATGGCTCCCTTTTTTTGTGTTTGGTTAAATTTATTTTCAGACTTTTCCCTTCTGGACTCTTTTCCTAATCAATTAACACATCTTGATAATCCTGCCTTTTTCTTCTCACCTAAGTTAACTCTCTTCTCTCCTTCCCCCTTTTCTATTTTTTTTTTTCTGTTGCTCATTTCTAACGCCAAGGCGATCTATCAGACTCCCCACGTGCCTTCAAGAAAGGTTGGTGCCTCTGTTGCATCTTGTTTTTCCACTCCCACTACACCCCTGCTCCTCATCTCCCATTTTGTTCCACTGTCCTCCTTTCCATTGGTGCAATCTGGGATCCTCTCTCCCAACATTTCTATTTTATCAAAAGCCATCTGGTGGTTGATTTTCTACTTTTTTTGGATGACTCACATGGGCTGCGTGGTTGGGTTTCAGTTGCTCTCGTGCTTTTCATCATACTAGGATTATCACCTCATGCTGAATAGCAAAGCAGTGGCTTCTAAGTCTGGTAGAGATAGGTCCCAGCCAGCTCCCCTCTCAGAGACTCTACAGGTGTGTGTTCATTGTCATCCCGTCCTCTGTACATTTGTCAAACTACCTGCTTAATTATTCCTCCTCCTGCACACTCATTCCCCTCATCAGTCGCCCTTGTCCTGACAGGAGCTGTGTGATTTAGTGGCCCTGTCTTAGGCACAGTGTTTCCGCTGCTGACCCACAGCCCAATCTAAATTGGCCCAATTTGTCCTCCAAGACCTGAGACAGGGATGTAGTTACGTCACCTGTTTGGTCTGATCTGGGCTTAACCTTGTGATCTTACTCATTGAACACAAAGTAACCTTCCACTAATTGTTGAATCTAAATTATATATTGATTTTTTTGAAAATGGATGTGCAACCTTACCTGCTGTTTTTTCCTTAGAACTTTGTATTATATGTCCCTTTGAATTTGCTGTTGCTTTTAGTCCAACCTTAGAGTTATAGAAAAAAAAGAGAAAATCAGCAACAAAAAAACCATCATATTTTCAATATTCTGACCCAGCTAATATTTGGCACATTTGCCTGAGGAATGACCCAAGCCATCAGTCGTCAAGCATCTATTAATGGACTGGTTGTTTCAGCACTTTTTCAAATCCATGCAGATGAGAGGTCACATTCCTCCCATAGAGGTCACTCCCATTGTGCTGTGTGTTATTGTGGCTGGCTGCAACACTATTTGCACCCTGCAGTACCATCTGACAACCTGCCAGGGTTTATGATGTCACTCCTGCTTGAGTGAGGCTTGTAAACACACATCATTGTTCCTCGCTCAATCTAAAGGCAGTTGTGCTAATCTTAAGCATTTGGCATTGGCTTACTAGACAATGAGCCGATGCCAGACTCATTGCTGCTGCACATCGCTCAGGACCATGCCCTCACTGCCCTGCTCGCTCTCTCATCTCTCAACTCTTGATTTATTCATGGCATATCTGGTGTGTGTATATTAATAGATCCTATGCCTATTCCAAAACCATCAGTCTAAGATGCATATCTGTCACTCTGGTCCAGTTTTTGGTTTAGCCACTTAGTGAAAATTTAGGTTTTTTGAAATTATCATCTAATAAAATCTCAAGGAACTATGAAGGATTTGTAGATGAGAAACTACAGTGATGCAGAGTTTGGTCCATGAAATTGTAGATAAATGAGGGATGCAAAATGCCAGGATGACTCCTAATTGTTAAAAAGGGTTTTATTTAATCAGTCAATGGATGTTTACAGAGCACATTGAGAGGGGCCTTTGTAGAAAATAAGCGGTCAGTGTCATGTTGGCGTCACAGTGCTCACACTGTGCTGAATGGAAGAAAGGGCTTTGTTGTCACCAGTGCACTAAGGAGACTGACGCTGTGAGGAAAAGAGCTGGATACCTATGTGCTGTTCACCATCAATATCACCATCCCTGTTTGTTTGTTTGTTTGTTTGTTTGTGCTGCTCTGCTGTTATTGACTGTGCCCATTCCCCTCCTGCAGGCTCCGCCATGTCTGGTTTAGATGGTCTGATAGGGGCCGAGGAGAGAATCATCAACAGCAAACCCAAGATCAGCGACAATGTGGTAAGAGCTTCACTGTCACTTTATCATTCTGTTTGTGCCTCAAAACTTTTCTAACTTGCTCAACACGTGAACTGAGAGCAGCGTTGTTAAAGCGAGAAAAATTGTGTAAAGATATTTAACTGTATTATCTGCATTAAATATCTTACAGCAGACAACTGACTTGACAGCTTAATTTTATCATCATGACCTCGGTCCAAAGCAGTTGAGCTGATGATTGAAACTGATATACAACGCTTTCACATAGCTCTCTTAAGTTCAGCTTTTAATGAGTCAGATTATTCCAGTAACTATGTTGTCATAGTTACAACTATCTCACACTAGGCTATTTGCGTGTCTCTCTCCGGTCTCTGCCAATCGACCCTCATTCAGATCAGCTCCACACTTTGTTCAGCAGTCATCGCATGCTAATTTTTTTTTGCCAGACACACCATTCCTCCTCATGGATTTTCAAACGATGCTTGGCCACTGAATGTGTGCTGTGTTTTGCATGCTAATCCAACAACACCAGCTGCAAAGCTGTGTATTTGTGTGTGTGAATATGAGTCATGCAAGTTTTTGAATGCATGCATGTTTCTTTTTTGGAGTCTTCTAAGACGGAGCAATCTGAGGTTAAAAATAACAAATGATGGTGATACCTAAAATGCCTGTTGGGATTACTTTTTCGTGGGAAATAGACTCTGGACTGCTCTGTCTCTACAAACAGTAGATTTTGTTTCTGCCTCCTGAACACACCCACTTCCACTCACAGTGCTTCTTCTTTAGATTAGAGCTCTCAGTAATGAGTGGCTGACAGTCTGTTTAGAAAGACATGCTAACTGTGTGCCTAGAAGAGAGTCTGTTGTTGATGCTTGCAAACCCCCTCCCTCTCTCCTTCCAGTTTGTACAAGACAGCTCCAAGTGTATCATCACCCAAACACAGATAATCTTTACAGTTTACTTTGCTGCACATTCACACCCTCTTGCTTTCAACCTGCCTATCTCTCTCTTTCTCTCCCTATCTATCCCCCCCCCCCCCCCCCCCCCCCCCCCCCCCCCCCCCCCCCCCCCCCCCCCCCCCCCCCCCCCCCCCCCCCCCCNCCCCCCCCCCCCCCCCCCCCCCCCCCCCCCCCCCACACACACACACACACACACACACACACTCCATCGCACACACACATTGTGGTGAGAGTAACTTGGGCTCCCCTGTCTGTGTTGACAGGTGATTGATGAGTCTCTGGATGTTAAAGAAGTGGTTTACAGTGCAGAGAGAGTCAGCGTTATGCATGATGATGAGCTGGTGAGTATAGCGGTGCCCTCCACAGGGCTCTTTGGGGAACTGTAGTTATAAGTAGTGGGGAGAAGATGAAAAAGAAGGAGGGAGTGTGGGAGTGTGCAAAGATACTAGTTCTGCAGCTTAATTAAAAAAACAACAACAAAAAAACACAGCTTTGGAACAGATCCCGAATCCCCTCTCTTGTTTTTTTTTTTTCAGTTTTCTGTTGAGGCTAATATGTTTTGATGATTTCTGCATGGGTGCATGATTGTTATGTGATTGTATCTGAATGTACACATTGGAAATCTCAGTGATTATGATATGATGAATGTGAATCCACACAAACTGAGTGTATTCAGTTTATGTGTGAAAATCAGCAGTAAAAAGAAATTCCCCAGAGGCTGTCTACATATGATTAGTTTGTGTCATATGTGCCAGACTACATTGTGAAGATGAGTGTAGGTGACTGTGGTTGTGTGTATATACTGAATTGGCCAAGATATTACACAATCTTCCACAAAGACACATTTCATGCATGTGTACACACTATTCACAAGTCAATCACGTCTTACAGATCCTCTGCCAAAAAAGGGTTGTTGTCCCTGTTTCACTGTGGTTTTATCAAATAATGTGAGAATAAAGGGTTAATTCTCATTTACTTCATCTCCCCATTTCAGAGCTACTTTGAGAAAGATTAATCTCTGAAAGGGATATTTTTACCATCCAGGCCTGGCAAAGTTAAAATCAATTTACCTGCAGAGCATAAAAATTCAATTTCATTTTTCACAAATGCTTATTTTTTCTTGTAAATAAGATAATGTGTCGACCTGGGTGCTAATTTTATGTCTTTCCATCATGATTGTTGATCATGATAACAATTTACTTATTGCCTCAGCTGTAGATATTTGGGAACATGGATTCTAGCAAAAACAGTTTTGATCTGTGCAAGGAATGTGAGCCTACCACAGCTTTTCAAAAGAAACTAAAATCAGCAAATTAACAGAAATCATTGCAAACAGTTCCACCCAGTTTGAGTCTGACTGAAAGAAAACCCAGACGGTTGTGCCTTAGAAATCCCTGCAGCTGTTTAAGTGAACAGCCTTGCATATCAGATCAACTTCATGCATGTTACAGAATTAGCAGGAAACACAAGAAGATCGTTTGTGTCAGTATATTTTCAAATAGAAAAAGTTAAATGTGGTTATTAAAGGTCCGGTGTGTAGGATTTAGGAGGATATATTGAGAGAAATGGAACATAATATAATAAGTATGTCTTCTTTAGTGTATAATCAACTGAAAATAAGAATCATTGTGATTTTTACCTGATAATGAGCCGTTTATATCTATATAGGGAGCAGGTCCTCGTCCATGGATTCCACCATGTCACATCGCCATGTTTCCACAGAAGTCCAGAATGGACAAACTTAACACCGGCTCTAGACAGGGCCATTAGTGTTTTTGCATCAGCCACAGTAGTTAGAAGCCGGCTACCGGTTAAAACCTCCTGAACAATGAACACTTAAGAAAACCAAACTGGGATAAGTATTAGCTGGTTGCAACCTGCAATCCTCACTGCTCGATGCCATTAAATCCCCCTAAATCTTATACACTGGACCTTTACTGTTATCATGATCACTGGTCATGATCAAAATATTAATTAATCCAAAGGCGAATCAAAAATATGAGAATAAGTGTTCAGATAATTTTTTAGATGGCTGGATGGGAGCTTCATTTAAAATAATCATATAACCGCATGATAACAATAATTTGTACGTCTATTCAGCTTAAGAAAATAATTAATATTACAGCAACTTTTTATTGCTTCAGTAGTCAGCTGTGTATGTATTGTCTCCTTACTGTTGCTCTCTCTGTCTTCCTCTCATCCTATCTCCCTTTTAGGAGACCTACCGCCCCCTGGGAGAGGACTTCAGCTTCGGGAGCAGTGCACTGATTGGCTTGCTGGTGATCGCGGTGGCCATAGCAACTGTGATTGTGATCAGTCTGGTGCTTTTGAGGAAGAGGCAATACGGCACCATCAGTCATGGCATCGTGGAGGTAAGCCACCTGTTATTTAGAGCAGAGTGTGGAGATTTGGGCAGAGGATGTGAACCACACACACTAGTGCTCTCAATGAACTGCTGTCTATCTCATTCCAAGAGTCAGATTTAGATTAAATTATCAGGGGTTATGTAAATGGGGCATGGGTAAATGCAAGGCAAATTAGATTATTGTCTTGGCAGCATTTGCATACGACACACACAGCATGTTGTCAGTGTGTTCTGCCCTTGTTAAGGTCAGCCTAAGAGTGTTGTGTGTCTGACTCACAGGTTGACCCCATGCTGACACCAGAGGAACGCCACCTCAGCAAGATGCAGAACCATGGCTACGAAAACCCCACCTACAAATACCTGGAGCAGATGCAGATCTAACCAGAGCCTACAGGGGGCGCTGTGGAGTCTGACAGAGGACAGCAACCAAGGGGAAACATACTACTGACCAATAACATATGCTATTGTTAAAATCATTTGCATACATCCAAACTCCATTTACTGGTTTGTTCAAAACAATCCTTAAATAATGCTACTACTTCTACTACTGCTACTATTGTACTATAGAGCTCTTTTTGATCATGTTTCTTTTGAAAAGGTGATGTATCTGCCATTTTGCATTATGGAAAATGTGATTCTGCAGATTTCTCTGTAATTATCAATACAGCTATCTCAGATCAAGATGTATAACATTTCTTCAGACATTTTCTTTTTATTTTTTTTGAAAGTGCAAGGCAAATCAAGCAAAATTTAAATGTCTTTGAGTGGCCATCATCGAACCGGCATACCTGACTACACTTCACTTTTCCATCATCCAAGTGTCACTCATGCAGTTTCTGATGGTTTCCTCAAAAAGAATTGGTGTTTTATTTTGTTCTTTTTCCTCTCAATAGATTGCTTGTATATGAAGGTTATTTGTACCAATTAAAATGTATAGTGAAACAACAAATGAGAAAAAAATGAAATCATGGATTATTTACTTTTTGTTCTTTGTTATGATAACAGACAAAATATACATATACAGTTTAAATATATATAAGAATAGATGTTTTTATTCCACCTTTTTTTCCCAGGGAAGAGGTTATGAGTCAGCTTAAGGTTCTTAGCTTAGTGGTCATGAGTTGTGTTTGCAAGCACACTGTCAGAAAAAGTCGGGAAGGTGAAGGTGTGCACAGACCCCCAGCTCAAACACATTACACAAAACCTGTTCTGAACCCTTACTTACAAGGTGAATGTGATAATATATCCCCTCCTACACACACAAACACAACTTTTTATCAATAGGGAAACAGCATAAATCAATAGATTAAATATACCTATTGACATGTGTTACATAGTTGAATGTATCATGGAAGCTTTTTTTCCATACTATGTACCTGACAGGTTCCTATGTGGCTTTGATTTTAATGCACTGTCACAAACATTGTGACAGGGGTGATGACACGCTACAAACTGACAAACAAGTGAAGTTTCGTGTTTGTTTTTTTTGTTTTGTTTGTATTTATTGTTTTTTTGCACAAATTATCTGAAGCAAAAACCGAGTACCATAAACTTTGAAACAAATTTTGGGGATGATGTAACACACGCTTTTGGAGCAACTGTTGGCTTTGCTGGTCATAAAGCATAGAACAGTTTGATAAAGCAAATCAGGGCCGGCACAGAGGCACCAACATAAGCAGCTGCTTCGGGCCCATCTGCCATCAGGGGCCCCCGATTTGAAGTGAAAATGTACAAATTTTAGGGGTGTTTTATTTATTTCTTGGATCACAACAAATGCCAAAAAATTAATTTTTTTTCTTAATCTGAATATACCAAATTGGGGTATTGTAAGGAATAATTTTGGTGGGTTTTAAAACTTTTTTTTTAGGATATGGGGAAACCATAACAAATTTTGTAATCTGGATTTTGGGATTTGGGTACCTGCAAAGGCTTAGGCCGGCCCTGGATCAAAGCCAATTGAAGACAACTTGGAGCTGGAGGGCTGTGCAGGCAGACAGAGACACACAGAAAGACAAGGCTTGGAGAGCTGGTTTCTGAGAAAAAAAAAAGAAGCTAACTTATGTATTTTTACAGGTAGAGAATGACACAAACAAGTAAACTGAATCCTTGAATCCTCTTTTCTCTCTCTCTCTCTCTCTCTCTTAGTATTGTCTTTGTATGCCTGTATAGTTGATGTTGCAATCATGGCTTTTTTCCGGAGGATTACCTGTGGTGTGCATTGTTCTTATATGAAATGATATGATATATATTTTTAAGTTTGTTTTCTTTGTTTTCTATTTTTTTTTCCTCTTCCTGTGACAGTATCTCTGTATGTGACTGTCTCACTATGCACCCAAACGGCTTCAATCTTGTAACTGCCTGCTTGATTGTGGGAAGGGACTGGGAACTAATATAATATGCATATTAGTGATTTGAAAAAAATTGATTGACACAAAAGGAAACAGATTTATGGTTACAGGGGGGATACACATCAATAAACTCACAACTTCCATATGAATGTGTCGTCTTTTCGTAGAGACAGATAGATAGATAGATAGATATTTGTGTGAGCATCAATAATGTTGCAACTGGAAAAGGCAGAGCTCATTTTTACCACTTTATATACTGTATGGTAGCTTAATCCATAATAGTAGGTTATATTTTGTATTGATAATATGAACAGTATTCAGCAGCAAAAATCAGTAACTAATGTTAGATAAAAGTAGTGGAGAAAAAAAGCACAATATTGGCTTTGAAAATGTAGTGGAGTAGAAGCCTTAAGTGGTATGAATGGAAATAATCAATGTACTTCAATTTTGAGTAAATGTACTTAGTTACATTTCACCACTGAAAATGGTAAGGGGATTTTAGGCTAGGGATGAGAATTATAGGGCTTCAGTGAACAATTATTTTCATTATCAATTAATCAGACAATTATCTAACAATTAACTGATAGCTGTGTAACATCTTAGAATAATAGTAAAATTCCCACCACAATAGGCTTTATTGAAATTAGGCCTACTATTGAAGTTATTTTTCTGAGCAACTACAAAACCACAAAATGTTTTTAATATCATAAAACACGTATTACTACTACTACTACCACTATGATAATAATAATAATAAGAATACTTGTAAAATCAAATGATTTTTAAATAGTTGCCAATTATTAACTTATATGTGTTCTGTATTTTATACAGAATAAGTGGTGTTGCTCAGTTGTATCAAACTGCCCGTAATACAGCGGATTAAGATGTAATTACCGAAAATTGGAAATATTGATTCATAGTATCCCCACAGATGAGGGGGATTTGTTTGAGGATGGGTGCCGTTTACTCAATATGAAACTTACGGCTCACCGTTGGTGATTCAACAGTGAGTCATAGGTACAGCCCACAAAAAGGCAGAAGCCAGGATAAGATCACCTGACTGATACTAAAAATAGGCTGTATGAAACTTTGACTTTATCAGGATTTGACAAAATGTTTTAAATATTTGAATTCATTTATAACTTCTTAAGATTGTGTGCAGGCTAAAATACAGCTGCTTCAAAACGCTCATTACAAATTGAATTCTTCCAGCATTGTAAGTATAATAATCGAGTTAACAGCGTGGTTTGTTATCTCCTCTTTTTTCTACGTAGTCATTTTCCCATAAAAGGTCATTTAAAAACATTAAACATTGTCCTCACCTGTGGTAGGTAAACAGGAAGTCGCTACAGGTGCGGGGTAGAGACACGCCCGCAGAAACCTGAAGCTCCCGGAAAAAGTTTTCCCTCCGCTGTTGCGTTCAGTTGCTCTCCTTCTGAGTCACACGCGACATATTGAGGTCAGACAGACATTCGTGAACATCTCGACCGAAGAAGACCCTCCTTATAAGACACCACAAGAGATTTTTGTTCGCTGTAACCTGATTGTGGTTTAGATTTTTTTTTCCTCGTTTTTTTTCCTCGGTGGAAAGGTGGAGGTTGGATTCAGACAGACACAAGAATCATCTCTTGGCGACTAGGCCTGCAGGTTCACCTCGGAAAACAGCCAGTGGGCCGCACCAAAAACTACCACAAGTCAAAGAAATAACAAGAAGAGGAGAAGTTTGGGAGAGCTTAAGTAGTTTAAGTATTTTTATTTTAATTTTAGCAGTCTGTGCGGGTGTTGAACCCTGATGGATTACATGGACAGTGGACTGAGATACATCCCAAAGTCGGTAAGAAACACATACTAATATACAGTCCACAAGTCATGCAACATAGGTGCAGGCTCTGTTTTGTCCTCTTAAATGTAGAATATGTGTTTGGGTTTTTTATGTAGGACTTTGGGTGTTACCTGAATCACCCTCCCTCCTAACATTGGTACTTGATTGTGGGGCAGTGTCAGACAGGAAGTGAACTAAACTTACATAGAAACAAACTTAAAAGATGAGTTAAAGTTAGTGTGAACTTACAGGTAAGTATCCGTAACAAACCTGTCAGACATGAAGTAGTAGGTCAGTGTTTTCATTCCACACATACACATAATACTTGAAAGGATGTTCCTGTAAACAACCATACAATTCTTTTAACAATCTCTGCCACTCTTATCACCAGCACACCGTTTTGCCTGAAGACAAACATGTTACTAAGTGAAAAAGAAATCCAGCATTTAGAAGCTGAGAAAACCTGCTTTCATTCCTTTGCCAAGCTTCTGGTTCTTTTCTGATTACAGGCTGTGCCGGCATTTTAATTTGGTATATTTGGGAGGTGAGCCTTTAAACTTGTTAATCCCATGTCATAAAAGCCCAGAAATGTTTACATTCATGAGAGCAAAAACTTCCTCTGAGGCTTCACAATCCCCCAAACGTGTTATTTTGATACAAGAAAATCTATGATCTGCACCTGCATCCTAAGATACATATGTCAGATAATTTAAACATGAGCAGTAGCTCTTGTGAAAATACCAGGAAACATTTATGTAATCTTTGTTCTTTTGCCCATGGTACACCATTCCACCAAACTGTCTTGTAAATGTAACAGGTTTTTTAAATATTCTGCTGCACTAGCTCCTGTTCTCTGCTGCCTTACTTTCAAGAAGTTAGCACAATGAAAAATGTATTAAGGCATCTTCCCACCAGCAGTATACAGTAAATGATACTCCAATTCCCTACCACCCTTTAAATAAATTCAGAGCTTTGGATAAAACCTTTTTAAAATAGTTATTCTCTCTGTCGAACTTCACTGAGCTTCATCAGAGAAGGTCCTCAGACAGCCGGCAGTCTTTGAGGGGCTGACGCCTGAATTCCTCCAGGTTCCTCCGCCCTGTTGCGACTTGTTGACTTGAGTCCCTCTCTTCTGTACACTACCAATCCCTTAAAGATTACTTCACATTATCCCAGTGTTGTGATAAATACATGGCAATTTGTGAAAAAGGAGGATCTGTCCTAGGAGCAGATCTGAGGTGTATTCAGTTGCAAAGTTGCTGTGTTGTGTTTCGGCCATTGATAGTGAGGCTGAGTAATAGTTTAATGCCATTTTGAATATATCATGAATACATGATGTTTATTAAGATTTACAATTCTGCTGTCTATAACAATAATAAGCAAGTTTCTGTTAAAGATGGACAAAATTAGGTGTGTGACGTGTTTAGCAATATCATTGGAATATTTCAGAATTTTGTGTTGTGATTGTGTGTTTTTTTTAAGATAATTACACTGACTGAACCACACTGATACTGTTTACAAGCTCACTAAAGATTTAAACTTAAAGATGGTTCGTTTGAAGAGTCATGAGTCATAGTTCCAGTCATGATTCTGGTTGAAACGATTTGATGCCAGAAAGCTTCATTTTGTTAATATGGAGATGGGGTGTTGTGTCATGTTCTGTTTCTTAATTTCGAATCCATCTCCCTTAGATATGTAGCTTTAAAAAAACACCCCAGGCAGTGAATGCATTATGTATGTAATGTTTGGATAATAAACAAAGCAGAGGCACGCATATCTTTGTCACAGACTCTGCAGTGAGCCTTAAATGGCAGATGTAAAAACCAGCTCTCAAAAAAATAAATGCTGCTGCCGGGCTATCCTAGACACAGTAAAATTAGTTCAGTTATTAAGCATTAGTATCAGGTTTATACAGGCGGAAAGAAAGCATGCGTGTGTGTGTGTCCTTGGTCTACATTCATAGTTTTGCACTTTGTAACTTTAAAACTTTCACAGAATTAAAGTCATGGGAATCTTTTTTGAGTTCTTTTAAACAACATCCCAGAGCTTGTAAGATTTTTTTCTTTGTCATTGTCCTGTGAATTAGTCTAGTTTTTTATGGTCCTTTTTAATTTTCTACTACAGTTCAGTAAGCACACATTCTTGTGTTCCACTTCAGACCTGCAAGTGGTTCACTCCCAGCAGGTTTGACAGGATTTTACATTTACTCCCCCCNCCCCCCCCCCCCCCCCCCGCCCCCGCCCCCCGCTCTGTCTCACCTCTTAAGGTGACTCACACACAGAGATCACTTCTAATTCATTAACAGAACCAGACATTGAAACTGTCCTTTCTGTTTTTTTATGAGTTCATTTTTTTTATAAAAATCTTAAGATTTCTTTCCCTTAAGAAGTCATAAGGCAAAGAAAAGAATTTGGTCATATTTCAGTATGTATTTTCACAATTTCTCTGGTTGAGAATATAATTCTGTAGGTCACCATAGGCTGGGACATTCCTAAAATATACAAGTACCTACTTGCTGCCTGCTGCTGTCACTTATCTTTAGTTGATTATCTACTCAGGACAAGCAAAGACAGTCACTTCTATTCTGTCTTAGGGTTAGCGTTAGGGTTAGAAAAAGAAAAACAACATCAAAAGTGTTACTAAAGGAACATCCTTGAGGCAAAGCTCCTGCAGCTTTATGTCCACAAATGTCTTCACACTTCTGTGAAATGGTTGGAATTAATATTTGGAGGTTGTTGTTTTAGCATAATATAGGGCCTTCAGTGTTATGTGTTGATCATTCATTCACTCATACAACTGTATGTCTGTCTTCTAGGACGAAGACTGGGACACCAATGTCCAGTTCCTGCCAGCATCGGATAACAAAAAGCTTGAGAAGAAGAAGGGTCCAGGGAAAGTTGGGGCTGTGATTGGTGTGGTCATCTTTGCTCTCGTTGTTGCGCTTATGACCGGACTGCTGGTCTGGCACTTCCACTGTAAGTAGTTCCTCCTTAGTACAAATTCTATTAATAGGAAACAGTAGCAAACGTTTAATAAAAAAAAGCACAGAAACGTTGAACTAACCTGATCACAATGAAAAACATTGCTACAAAGGTAGGTGATGTCTGTCATGTAATCTGTCAGGTAACTTACACACTATGTGCTTGGTCAACATGAGACAAATATTAGAGTGCAGCAAAGCCTTGTTATTAAAGTCAAGAGGAACAGTCTCAGCAACCATGATGGCAGTTAAATTGAAGTGACAAAGATGAACACTTTCGAACAGTTAATATGATAGACATTTATAGCATGTACAGGGTTGACTAACTGGCAAGTATCCGAAT